GCTAGTGTTCTACCACTTGAAACACAGCACCACAGTTTTCTGAGTGGTTTATTGGAGATAAGGAGTCTCACAGACTTTCCTGCCCAGGCTGGTTTTGAACCACCATCCTCAGATCTCAGCCTCCTGAGTAGCTAGGATTACAGGCGTGAGCCACTGACACCAGGCCTTGACTACTTTTTATTTTTATCATCAGTTGAGTAATCTGAAGGAGAGCAGCACCAATAGCTGTGGGTGGCCAAGGGCACAGGAGGTTGGCAAGTGGTTCCTCAGGTGACAAGAGTCAGTGCTGAGACCAGTATCCTGCTGCCTGGCCGCAGGCCAGTTGAGATAAATCAGGACCAAATTGACAGAAGATAGCTACAGGCTGTTGAGCCATTACAGCACCATGACAGCTAAAAGTAAACAGACACCACTGAACTGTATCACTGGGTCACTGGACCATGGGATCATCAATGCTGTGGCTGCAAGTCCTGGCCCAAGAGGAAAACAACTGGGGCCTCACCTGATCCTGGAGGCCAGGAACCTGCTGCTACACTATAGGTTTCCAGGGTCTCAGCGAACTCCTGCTGCTGGTATCTTCCAATCCTCAGGTCTGTAAACACCCACCAAGCCCCTCAGTGAGCTGGAGGAGCCTGGCCCACCCTGCCCACCACCTCCATCGGGGCAGCGCTGAAAGGCAGCCCGTGCCTGCTGGTTCGTGACACTTGTCTTGTGTGGGCAAAGCCCTGGGCTCCATCCCCTGCACTGAGAAAAACAGTTAAATGAGTTTAGTGACTCACTAAATTAAAAGACTAGATCCCAGGATGGGAAGGTGGCTCAGTGGTAGAGTGCTTGCCTTGCATGCCTGAGGCCCTGGGTTCGATTCCTCAGCACCACATAAGCAGAAAAATACAGAAGTGGTGCTGTGGCTCAAGTGGTAAAGCAATAGCCTTGAGCTGGAGAGCTGAGGGGCAGCGCCCAGGCCCAGAGTTCAGGCCCCATGACCAACAAAACAAAACAAAAAACTAGGTCCCAGACTACAATCAAGAGGTATAAATCACACAAAGATGTAAAAAGTCATGAATCAGGTCATAAACCAGATGCCAGTGGCTCACACCTTTAATCTCAGCTACTCAGGAGGCTGAGTTCTGAGGACTCTGATTCCAAGCTAGCCCAAGAAGGAAAGTCTGTGAGACTCCTATCTCCAATTGAGAACCCCCCCCAAAAAAAACAGAAGTGGAGGTGTGGTTCAAATGGCAGAGCACCAACTTTGAGTTAAAAAGGAAAGGGACAGTGCCCAGGCTTGAGTTTCAGCCCTACTGACAACACACACACACACACACACACACACACACACACACACACACACACTTGAGTCAGGTCATGTCATGGGCCCTTTTAGATGCTCTCAACCATACATACCAATGTGATGTCCTCTGCTAGCTGAGGAATTCGCAGAGGGGAGACCTAATCTATTCCTTTCAGGGTCTGTTGTTTTCTACTCATGGTGACTTGTTTTCTCGTGAGATCTGTAATTTGGGGTTGGGAGCTCCACACCAGAGGGGCCCTGGGAAACTGTGAGTGGCGGGTCTGGAGGACCTCCCACGGAAGTTACTGTCCTGTTATGCCAGGACTCCCAGGGGAAATCACTATGCAAAGATGACTTTTTAATGCTGATGTCTCAATTTCAGGGTTCCTGGACTCTACAGACTGACTTCATTATAGGCATTCTAAACATATATAAACTATCCCTGAAAATGCAATTTTAAAAAATCCCAGAGGAAACTTTCTGTAGCCACAGCTCAAATGTATTTAGATAGAAATTTTTGTCCTTTTCCTTAAGTGTTTTCTTTATATTCATTTGTGTGTGTGCATGCGTGCGTGTGTGTGTACTGGTCCTGGTGCTTAAACCCAGGTCCTGTATGCTGTCTGTTCTGTAGCTTTTTCACTCAAGGCTAGTGCTCAACCACTTGAACCACACCTCCACTCCTGGCTTTTTGCTGGTTAATTAGACATAGAACCTTACAGACATTTCTGCCTTGGCTGATTTTAAACCTGGATCCTCAGAACTCAGCCTCCTGAATAGCTAGGATGACAGGCATGAGCCGCCAGCGCCTGGCTTCAACTAGATTTGAAATCACAGTGCAGACTCGCAAAATGGCAGAGGCTTCTGGAACAAGGATGGTTCTCAGGGGACAGAGGCTACAACACAGCTTGATCTTCCACTCATGATCCAGAACTTCCACGCACCAAGAGACAGGGAGGAGGCACAGGTGCCACCGAGACACCTAATGAGAGCAGCCGCTGCCAAGGGCTGGGATGAGGCTCAGTTACCTCCACCCTGAAGCAGCCAGCCTGCTGGGGCTGCCGTGACCGGGGCACTGCCCCTGGTGTGTGTGCGTGTATGTGTGTGTGTGCGCGCACGCGCAAACGCTCTGTCACATGGGGCCTGTTGCACATACATTGTGCCATGTGATCTTAGGAGCTACCTGTCCCATCTAAGTGTGCGAGTCGCATTCTTGCGCCAGGAGCAGCAGGCGCGCTGTGGAATGCTCACGGGACCGCAGAAGAACAGAGCTGGAGGCCATGCTACCCCACCTGCCCCTCACCTCAGCCTCTGCGCTGCACCGTGGGCAGCAGAGATGGCTTTGAACTGTGACAACTGCAGCGCGCAGCAGCCTGGCTCAGATGCTTGTTCTCCAGGCTCTGCTCCCCAAGGCCTCCTGGAGGCTGGGGAACCCTGCCCACAGGGGTCACACATGGCTTCCGGACACCATCGCTGTGGCAGATGTTGCCGCTGTGATTCTGGGGGTGCAGGCTCCATCAGCACTGCTGTCACCCCGCGCAGCCACCGGTGGGGCTGTTGGTCCCTGAGTGTGCCTGTCTCCCCTGCCTCCCACATTTAGAAAACAAACATCTCCTGGAGTGTGTGTGGCTCACACCTGTAACCCTAATCTTTCGAAAGGCTGAGATCTGAGGGTCACACTTCAAAGCCAACCCTGGAAATAATATTGGAGACTCCTGTATCTCCAACAAATCAGCAAAAATCCAGAGACTGATTTTGTGACTCAAGTTGGTAGCGCGCCAGCCTTAATCAAAAACAGCTAAGGGAGAATGTGAGTTTTTGAGTTCAAGCCCCATTATCAGAAAGGCAAAAACTGACCTCTATCTCTGAGGCCATCTCCAGGTGCTGGGGACCTTGGAGCCGCCTTGGAGATTAGAACATGGCTCCACTTTGATGGGGATTCAGTGTACAGTCCAGGGCCTTGTGGTTCTCAGGCCTGATCTGGCCTGGTCCCAGCCTGGCTCCCAGGAGCGCAGGCAGGGAGGGGTGGTGGAGCGCCGCGGGAGCCACGGCCTGTGGGCAGGAGAGGCCGTGGGACCGGTGGGTGCTGAAGTGGGTGTGGGCCCTGAGAGGGGCAAGGGTCACCGAGGAGGCGGAGTCCTGCAGGAGTGGAAGGACCTCATCAAAGGACCTTTCAAGGCGCAAATGAAAAGCCCAGGCCCTACAGCACCCCACCCCCTTTTTGTGCCAGTACCGGGACTTGAACTCTGGGTCCTGTCCCTTAGCTTCTCCCTTAAGGCTGGCACACCACCACTTGAGCCACGGCTCCACTTCCAGCATTTCGGTGGTTAACAGGTGACAAGGGTTTCATGGGCTTTCCTGCCCGGGCAGCTTCGAACAGCCTCCTTGGATCTCAGCTGGCCTGACCCCCTGGGCTCCGTGGGAGCGGAGCTGGGCCGCGTGTTGCCAGGCTGGCAGGACCACGCCCAGGCCCACCGGCCGGCGGGACACGGCGCGAGGGGTGGGGCCGAGGCCCAGGAGGCCCAGGGGGAGCCGAGCACCGCCCTTTGGGGCTCCCGGACAGGAGGATGCCTCCCCCCAGCCTGGCAGTGCAACTCTTTATTATTCGTTTCCTATCAAAAGAGGATGCCGGGAGGAGGAGGACCAATCAGGTCACAGGCTGGGGCAGGGGGCGGGATGGGGAGGGGACGGGGACAGGGTGGGGAGGGGCGGGGCCTTGCATGTCTGGGGCGGAGCCTTGGGGTAGGCGGGTTTGGGGGTGGAGCCTGGGCTGTTGGGGCGGTGCTTGGGCGGAGCCTGGGGCTGGTGGGCGAGGTATGGGGCAGAGCCTGGGCAGTTGGGGCGGTAGGGGGCAGAGCCTGGGGCGGGAGGGCGGGGTTTGGGGCGGAGCCTGGGGCGGGGAGGGCGGGGTTTGGGGCGGAGCCTGGGGAGAGCAGGGTGGGGGTTGGGGCGGGGCGCACCGAGTCTCCCTCCCCCCTCGGATCCCACGCTGGCCCTGCGGGGCGACCCTCACCCCTCCCGGTAGACGGCGCCTGTGGCGTTCCTGGAGACCCGGGGTCCTCCTTGCCGGTGGGGTAAACAGCGATGGTAAACTGAGGCCGGCGAGCAGAGTCCAGGGCCGCGCCCGGGCCCTCACTGCTCCTCGGGCCCCTCGCCCCCCTGCGCCTGTTCGTAGGGGCAGAGCCGGCGCTGGGGGCCGTCGGGCTGCGAGCCCAGGCCCGGCCCGGCGGGCGCAGGCTCCGCGCAGTCGGCCCCGGCTCCGGGCGGGTGCTCCGCGTCGCTCTCGTCCGAGTTGTCCTCCTCCAGGTAGCGGTAGCCGCGCACTTTGTGCTGGGGCCGCGGGATGCGGGGCTGGCGCGGGGTCAGCCCGCGCCGCAGCTTCTGCTCCATCCACAGGTACGAGCCCGCCGCCGCCACCAGCGTCGCCAGCAGCACGGCCAGCTTGACCTGGGCACAGGGAGGGGTGAGGGGCTCCGCCACCCCTGCCCACGCCTGTGCCTCCCAGAATAAAGGTGCGGGTTTGATGAGGCCTAGAGACAGGTTCGGCCCTGCTTGACCTTAGTGCACAGCCCGGGGCCGGTGCCTCCCGCCTGTAACCCTAGCTCTGCAACAGGCTGAGATCTGAGGATCAGGGTTCAAAGCCAGCCTGGGCAGGAACGTCTATGAGACTCTTATCTCCAATTAACCATCATAAAATTGGACATGGCGCTGTGGCCCAAGTGGTTGAGCGCTCGTCTTGAGCTGAAGAGCTCAGGGACAGTGCCCAGGCCCAGAGTTCAAGCCCCACTACCGACAAAAAAAATACATAAAATAAAAATAAAAAATAAACACCGTGCACATGCTTGGGCTCAGTGACTGCAGGTTAGCCTGGAAGTCACGCTCTGAAGGCAGTGCGTACTAACTCAGCCACTGCACACATCTGCTATTTGGTTGGGGAGCACAGTATGTAAGCTCCACCTCGGCCACAGGCCCCTGTCTTCCATGCTTCATTGAAGTCCTCCGTTTCCTCCCTTGCCCGGTGAGCTGGGGAGGGGTCCTGGGAAGCCAGGAGCCCAGCTGCTGGCTGACAGGCATGGTTTCGCTGTCCCTACACTCCCCCCTCCCCCCACCCCCCACCAGCAGCAGCCTCACCTTCATGGGCAGGCTGGAGCCCAGGTACACGACAAAGATGGCCACCGCCTGCCACCAGTGGTAAATGGTGAAGATGAAGTCCTGCCTCTCCTTGTCTTCATATAGGATTCCCAGGAGTGCTGTGAATAGTGGGGGGCAGGCAAGTGCCAGGTGTTCACTGGGGCCCCTGGGGCAGGGGGAGATGTTGATTTCCTACCTGTGACTCTCCTAGGCCTTCTACCGGGCCATCCCTGAGCCCCCTCCCTGGTAGACCAGCCCTGGTGCATGCTTTAGTGGAAGCCCTGCTTACTAAACTCCCCATGCGGGCA